TTTCGAGATCTGCCTTGTTTCGGTGTTCGAATGGTCATTTTAGGAAGTTTGACGGATATGAAAAATCCTCTTATCAGTAATATGCAGACAATGTATTGTGTGTTCATTCTTGTGCTGTTCAGAGTATATAGTCGCCTCGTTCGTTCCTATCTTGCTGCTGACTGGCGAAATTGGATCAAGCTTTGTTGCTCGACGAGAAAAAGAAAAGAATATTTTCGAGCATTTTGCAGACTACATTGTAATCAAGCNCCTGCATATGAAATTGTTCATTAGAATAAAAAACAATTTTTCCTAATACACTGACAGCATTGAGACCATCATTCAAAGTTGGCACTGCAAATTGTTCTTCAGTCTCTTCCTGTTCTTCATTTTTCTCTTGAACTTCTTGTACAATATCATCTTCCGTAGCTGGTGCACAAATTGCAATAGAGTTATCTGCATCAATAAACTCATTAGGATCAGTAGCAGATATTCTGAGAATTACAATAGACCCTAAACTCGACACGTTTTTGTTTACTTTTGCGATCTTAACGGTCATTTACTGTACCAAATGTGGGTACTGTTACCTATTCAAATGTTTACAATAGAGCTGGTCGTTCTAACAGATATAATTCTCCGAAAATATCAGTTAAATGTAGTCGCTTAAAGCGATATGTCGTAATAAGCAATGTCGTAAAAACCAGTGTTTTTTATAAGGCGGTCTAACAGAATTAAGCCGGGACCTATGATTTTGGTCAATATAACCGGTATGTTGTTCTAAACGATGTCGTAGTAAACGGTTTTGACTGTATTTGAATCGCAGGGGAAAATATCTGTTTTCACTTACGTCAAAAAAAAAATAAGATGAAAGTAAATGTTTATTACGAAAACGCTGATTTTGTAATTTTATATTAGCTTATCACGCGTTTCGGACTCGCTCCATCCTCATCAGAAGTTTTAGACGAAACAAAGATCTCTTCTGCAATAAAAGCAATTCAATTTGAAATTGTTCTGAGCACTCTTATGCAAAGCGCCTGATAATTTGAGATAACAGAACCACTACAAAATTCTAATTATTTTCTGGACGTTTCCAAAGAGAATCCGATCTAAACGTTCCGTAATAAAAAAATTGCTTAACTTGAAAAACATTTCTCGTAATTAAAACTCAACAGTACATAATCGTCCCTCACAAAGGGAATTTCAGTCAAACACCAAACAAAATGTTCAACTACGAATGCCGTGATCCGTAACTTTATCTCTATTGTTTTCCCATTTAACCCAATTATCCGTCGTTTGTTTCATCAGTGCCTTTTTACGGATTATCCGCAACCTTTTTTTAAATAGAAATTGCGTAACTGTTTTTCGAGCAATTGGACATAATCAGCTACAGGAGGTAGATACTATTCCAAGCTGAATTATATATGTATGTTGATTGGTGATGACCGCATGACATTTTTATTTTATTTAAAAATCAGAGGAAAAGTCATACGTTTTGTATTATAAATAACCCATTTCTCAGTTTCTTATTCGAACTAGAAGCAGGTCTATAAAGTGATTTGGAAAACCGATTTAGGTAAAGTAATAAATTAAATTAAGCCGAAACCATAATTTTTTTATGGCGAATAGATCATTGAAATTTTATATCACGAGCCGTCGAATTTTGAAAACGGAAAATGTAATAAAATTACCATACTGATTGTTGGAAACAAAACTGTATAAAATATTGATTTATGCAAATAATAATTACATCAACAAATTGGTAAAACAATGTGGATGAATCGAACTGCATTTTATCATTGTGCCTAAACAGTACTGCCGCCGTTTTAACTTTTATAGCCCTGTTTTGTGCTAGATACATGGATTCTAATTACTAGTTTATTCAGGACATAAATTTAAAATTTTATTGCTTAATTAACTTTACATTGTTAACATATTCTTCAAATAATGGGTTTACGTTCATCGACTACCACGATTTGCTATCAATAAAATATCGGGAAAATAGATAATAAATTTGTGGGAAGCTTTCAAAAGCATATCAGTTCCTGTTATAACAGGCAACATGGTTTTATGTTTGGTTGTTTACAAGGTATATTGTGCTTTCGAAATACAACACGTATTATTATCTTCACATTATCTATGTTGCGATAGATAATAGAAGGAAAACAGAGGATAATCTGGCAGAGAGACTAGTCATTATAATAGGTCTGTGCATTATACAGTTTATCTCATTTAAACAATATGTACATTATACATCGAGTGGACCAAATAACTTTATATACAGAGTATAACAGAAATAAATGCAGAGAGCTTTGGATAGTCTAAACTAAATGCAATAAACAATCGCACGGTAGTTAAGGGCAATATTTAACAATCTGAAGCCGGTCCTGTGCGTGAATTGGCAACATAAGTGCCTACTTATTGCGTAGTGCGATAAAAGCTCATGGATGGAGAACGTAAACATTGCCGATAATCGAACATAAACAATTTAATGCTACAGATAATGTATTAGCACTATGTAAACGTGCGAACACAAAGGCAAGAAAAAATGTATGTGACGTTAGAATTAGTCGGTAAATGGGTATCATCTGGATAATTGTAATTTTATTAAGACATATTTTCACACTGCCATTGGGGTATTGCGGGTAAATAACTTACCAAAAACTTAAATAAGTCTCCACCGAAAACAGTTCTTGAAATCATGAAGGATGTACGAATTCAAAATGTCGTTGTCAAAATTTGCCTGTAAACAATACCTTATTGAAAAAATTATGCTAAATCCACTCGCGGCTGAAAATCACTTTCAATCAAGGCTCACTCGCTGCAAATGATAAGGATACAGCAACTGCTACTTTCTAGCGTTCTCTGCTATTCGGCGTGCAATATCTTTGGGATTGTTGTATTGCTGAATTAATTTACTAAACTGCAAATCGGTTGACTCATACAAGTTTTTTTCTTTGTTTGTATTAGATACTGCGTATGACATCGATTTAATAAAATAATTCTGCATTTAGATTTATTATTACGAATGTCCTATGCTCACACTGAAGAGAAGATTCCGCGATATAGTGTACTCCCTAAGCTCCGTTTACGATATCCGTAAACGAGATAGAGATTATGTCACGAATATTTCATAATATTCACGAATCCGACTAATCTAGAGCTATAAAGTGACTGCAGCTTATGATCTTCATAATAAAAGACAAGATAAAGTCCGGATGATAAACAGCAACCTTTTAAATGTTTACCTATTTTAGAGAAGCTTACCCATTAGAGTCGTGTCGCAAAATAAATGTTCGCGAAAGACCTGCTTGTATAATTAAGCTTTATGGACGGTTTATCTTTCTAAAGAGCTTTAAGATTAAAAAAAAATGACACAGAGTTTTCGTAATAACTTTAATTTAACGCTTCAAAGTACTCTTCTTCGCCTTGTAATCAAGACATTTTCTTAGATTACCGACTTTATGCAGCAACTTCGTCCCCTAAAATTATTTTACTATTATTTCACATTAATTTTGATCTATGCAAAGACGTATGGTGTAACACATAGTTGTGTATCTCGTATTGTATAATAGTTTGGGTATTGGGATCCGTCAAATGGGCATACACCATCTGGTGGCAAAATTTATAACTCGAATGAAGGAAAAATTTACATAGGAACTGTGCACGCAAATTGTAAAATTGTTTATTAAAATAATAAAACACGTTAAAAAAGTAAAAAGTCTTTTCATGATGGAGTCGACGAAGTTTTCTTCTAAAGTTAAATCAAATAAAAAGTTAATATGTTCAGTGAAAAGCTGCAATAGCACTTCAGACATAGATCTTCACTCTTCACCTACATTAACTACTTTCCAATAAAAACTAACCGTTTTATATATGTAAAAAGTATATTCGGAAAATTAGAGAAAAAAGTAAACTAATAGAAGCTTGGATGAAAGCAGTAGGTATCGAAGAAGTGAATTCCGGAATAAAAATTTGTTCCCGTCATTTTAATGCACATGATTATATTTCAGCAAGTATTTACCATCAGTCATAACCTTAATATTTAAAACTAGAATCATACTAAAATTATAAAGTGTAAAATTATTTATTCCTGTGTAATTGATTTAACACAATTCTAATGATACGATATAAGTATTTTGAGGTTAAGAATCTACCTGCTGCAATACAACAAAGTTGCAATAATGTATTTGCAACGTTCTCTTAAATCGGCTTTGCACGTGCAAGTCATTGATATGATATTGCTTAAATTATCCAGAATCACCTCACCAATTATATAACGTGAATCACTTTTTAAATCCGAAGTTTGTAAAAAGTAGGCAGTAAACTTGACGGAATTTGAAGGCTAGCTTTCGGATTTCTTATTTTCGAATTTTATAATGTGATCGGCATTAAAGACACGCTCACCTTCAACGAAATTTCCTTTCCGAGGCTTTGTGTCAACCCAATCACATATTGTGTCAATACTTATCACTTTATCGTAATTTAAAAACTGGGAAATTGCACGGTACACTATAGGAACTACGATAAATTTTCCCTAATCGGCGCCATGTTTTTAGGCTCCTTCCATTTGACGGATCCCAATACTAATCCAAATAAATCACTTTGTTATCGTTGTTTGTGAAAAGTTTTAAATTTTAAACGATAGTTACTACAATAATTATCCTTGTATTAGCGATCCGATTGTTTTTCTTTTATACCTGATACTAAAAACAATGTACACAATTTGCTTTCTTAATTTGATTCGGTATGAAATTTATTCTTTTTTTCCTTAAACCTTTTAAATCTTTTGTAATGAGAAGGTTGAAGGATCCCTGACTATTTCGCGGTAAATCCATCGGAATTCTTCTGCAATGCCGCCTACGACGGAAACGTCCGTCGCGTCGGCGGTGATAGGAGACACCGGGGAGTCGTGAATAAATAAGCAATTCTGTTTGCAAAGACGGAAACAGTGTAGTATTTCAACTAGCATCAGTACTGGCAACTGTGGAAAAACCAATTAATGACGATCCTTTTTGTTCCAGGGCGTAATTCTCAATCAAAATGTATCGGCCCGAATAATCCGGAGCAATCAAAGTTTGGTGCTCCAGAAAGTTACAAGGCAAAGCGCTGGAAAGTACTTGTGCTCTGCAGTGAATAGCGAGGGTGAAACTTTAAGCAACGAACTCGACTTCAGGGTTCAATGTAAGTATTATTGAATTTTGACAGTTCCATTACGCTCTTTCCTGTAAGGTTTGATTAAAAATCCGCGTGGCTAAAAATAGGGAATCCATTCTAAAGTTGCCACATTTCACACTCGTCTAATTGTTTATGAAAGTTAAAATTAACAAATAAATAATTTCAAAGTATTGACGATCGACCAGCTGGGTATTTATACAGAATAAATATGAAATATTCTGAAACGCACTGTTAAGACAGCAGGTAAAAGTTGGTCTGTGTTCTGTCGGAGCTGCCTGAGACGAGCTGATGAGATCCAAAAAGATCGAAATCGCGATCCGCGTCTGGCAGTTTCGACAGAATACAGACCACTTCGAATTATTTTATTCGATTAAGCTAACGTGCCTATCACGTTGAGTTTGGCTACGCCGGGATTCGTTTTCAGCAAGTAGATATCCACACAAGTGGACCTTGTTGAAAAATACGTAATCCTAAAATGTAGCATCGTGCTACAGATGGCGTTCACTGTGCCGTTTGTAGTATTTTCTGAAATGCAATTTTATTAAGGAGAAACAACTGTTGGTAAATATTACGTGAATTTATACGTACTACTACATGGAAATGATCCAAAACCACGTTTTCATTAGCAGAAATCGTTACCATTATGTGGCTTCAGCAGAGTATTTGATAAAAGTGAAGTAACTTTATTTTTCTAAGAATGAAAGGCAGAATAAAATCGGTTTTATTAACTTTTTTGTGATTGTGATGCCATTCACTTTATTGAACATTCCATAAATTTTAAGACCGTGCTCAAGGCTTTTTTCTTCATTTATAGGAAAAACAAAAACAATCGTGTTTTTTTTTTATTTTATTTTTCGAACATGATGAAATCTTCTTAAGTCTTCTATTAACTTCTGGGAATTTGAAATGAAATGAAAAACGGCCTACTCTAAATCTTATGTAGATAAAAAAACGTCAACCATTGGACGAGGTTTGAAGAGATAATAGCATCAGATTCCTCTTATTGTGTGTATTTCGTTAAAAATTAAAACACGTAAAAAAAATTGTTCCTCCTGAACTTATATTGTATGGCAATATTACTGGTGGGCGGGAAAATATGATTTCCACCGTCGATTTACAAATAATAAGACAATTTCGAATAGAATATGATTAGTGGAAACAAATTAAAGTCCCTTCATTAGCAGACATATAATTACTGATATATTAAAGAAACCTGCTATTAGTTGGTTGAGTTTGGTAGATCTACCTTATAATTATATTGGAATCACTTATTCTTTACCTGTGGTATTGTTCACGTTACCATGATAATGTCGTAATGGAGAATTGGAGACTGTATACAAAAAAAAAGCATTCGATAAGAAATGGAAGTCGAATAAATCATATTTTAACCTTCAATTATAGGTAAAATAATTCAAATTTAACTTGCTTATTGTATATTCATATATTGTATATTCATACGTGGAAAAGGTAAGTACAGGTCGGACGGAGGAAGCTGGCGGAAATTTTAAAATGGCGTGGATGCGCGGTGGCAAAAGTAGGCAGTTTTAGGTATAACGATTGCAGCCCCCTCTCTTCAATATTCCTATTAGTGGCGTAGATTAAATGTTTAAAAGCAGGGATCAATTATCAAAATTAAATCAAAAAATTAACTTATTCGGTTGGTTTTCTTGTTGTTGTAGATATTTAAAGTTGTCAGTAAGTCAGTTACTTGGGTTCGATTCCCGGCGAGGGCGCGACGGTAATAACAATTTTTTCTCATTAATTTTAGGTTATTTATAGGGGTAATGCCTAGTTCTCTTCCATATACCTGTTTTTAATTAGGGTTAAAATTTTCGGTATGTCGAATTCCCTCCTAATTATACATCAATTGCCTTTCAACGGCGGCGGACCTTGAGTGCTAATTGCCACTATAAAGTCATAAAGAGTTGTTTAAATAATACAGTCTCACATCACATATTAATCTTAATATTATTCATATATTATAGACACCACAATAACAATAATAATTTTATCAGACTACCCTTCTATTGGTCAAATACAAGACAAACTAAAACTAATAAAGTTTTTCTGGATAATTGCATCAAAAAGCTAGACTCACACGAATTTTCAAACATTTGTTAAGGTAGTAAAACGTTTTAAAATTAAATAAACATTTCATAACTGATATGTGTTTTCTTTTTGGAATGATTTTATCTTTAATTTATTGAAGTATTGAAGTGCACTATAAATATATATTTATTTTCGTTAAATAAAATCGGTAAATAGTCGTTTACATAATTATCGGACTTGTTATGAACGGGAGGGATCTCGGCTAGTACCTGGGAGGGAATTCGACCATCTATGTTTTAACCAAAACTACGTGCGGGAGGAAATTCGGCATCACCGATTTATAGTCGTAGAAATTAATTGAAAATCCCTACAAAAACGTCGAAATGTCACATTAAATATTTTTTTAAGTAATTTGAACTATTCGATCCATTTCAGTTTCACCGTCGTGCCGATTTAATAAAACGATTTTGGTGGGTGCATCGAAGGAAGAAAGTGTCAACATCACGTGCGAGGTCCAGGCAGATCCTCCTGCCAAGTCATATCGGTGGAAATTTAATAATTCCGGCGAAACGATGGAAGTGGCGTCCGAGATGTTCGTTGATACGAGCAATGGAACCATAAGTATGCTCAGTTACACGCCTATTTCGGACTTGGATTACGGAACACTCAGTTGCTGGGCCATAAACGCTGTCGGTTACCAGAACGAACCCTGTTTATTTCAAGTGGTCTCTGCAGGTAAACATATTCTAGATTTTACTGCTTTATAAATACATGGTCTTATTTTAAAAGGGGCCAAGTTATTTTCTTCTTAAAGGACTGATTCTTGACACTTCATTACATCAGAACGAATTTTAGAAATCTATATCTTTATTTTTTGAAGAAAAATTGAAATAAAGCTCTGACTAATTTTAATATACTACGTAACTAAATGCAAATATTAATGGTAATAGATACATTAGGTATCATAGTACCTTAAAACTAATCTGAATACATTAAATATTTAAATACGACAACTGTGTCAAAATTTCAAATAGCTACTTGAAAAATGTATTCATAAAATAAAACATGAAAAAACTAACAGAGAAAACTGAGCATGTTACAGTCAAAATCTGTTATAACGACATCGAAGGGACTACTCGTATTTGGTCGTAAAAACCGACAGTCGTAGTAGCCGGTGACGTTATTATTGAATGCGTGATTAAAATATTCATACATAAAATAAAACTACATTTTATTTATTTTACATAAACCGTATTATAAAAAGACATTACGTACATATAATTATCATTTTTCTATATTAATAAAATCTGGAATTTTAGTCTGTTTGGAACACTTCTGTCGTGCGTACAGACTTTGTAGTTCACGTTTAATTTTAATTAATGTATCATCATAATTTCCCTGCATATGAAACTGTTCATTAGAATAAAAAACAATTTTTCGTAATACACTGACAGCATTGAGACCATCATTCAAAGTTGGCACTGTAAATTGTTCTTCAGTCTCTTCCTGTTCGTCATTTTCCTCTTGAACTTCTTGTACAATATCATCTTCCGTAGCTGGTGCACAAATTGCAATAGAGTTATCTGCATCAACAAACTCCTTAGCTTCAGTAGCAGATATTCTGAGTATTACAATAGACCCTAAACTCGACAAGTTTTTGTTTACTTTTGCGATCTTAATGGTCATTTACTGTACCAGATGTGGATACTGTTATCTATTGAAATGCTTAAAATACAGCTGGTCGTTCTAACAGATAATTCTCCGAAAATATCAGTTAAATGGAGTCGCTTAAAGAGATATGTCGTAATAACCAATGTCGTAAAAACCAGTGTTTTTTATAAAGGGGCCTAATAGAATTAAGCCGGAACCTATGATTTTGGTCAGTATAACCGGTATGTTGTTTTAAACGATGTCGTAGTAAACGGTTTTGGCTGTATATCTTGTCACAGATTTTAAAAATTATTTGGATTAGGATTAAGTATTGTAAAAGCCAAAAGCAATACAATAAAATATCAGCTTAAACTTCAATCCTAAAAGAAAATGATTTTTCTAATTCTAAGAAACGAAATTAAAGCAACAAAACTACAATTGATTTAAAAAATTGTGGGTTGATAAAAATAAAAGTATGTGGCACTGTTTATAAGACAAACCCCTCAGTGGGCACTCGTTTTTAAAGAGCTTTTTGTCGTTATTTCAAAATGTTGAGATTTTTAAGTGTGATAAGTTAAAGTAACAATGAATTAAAGCAGCATCCCGGATAATAGCACATAGAAACAAAATAGTCCCCTTAATCTTTGAGAAAAGGCAATTGCCAAAAAAGGCAAAGAAAGTTTGAAATATATCAAGCAGTTTATCTTCATTCGTCGAGCTAAACTAAGACCAATTACTGTTGTATTAACTTTAATGCCACATCCGGGCTGTATCGCTTTCCAGATCTAGCTTCGCATTCTTTTTCCTCGAAATCAAGCTCCGGACTGCTCACAGTGATTCCATCGCTTTCGAAAAGTTCCACTTCTACGGCAAATGGGCGATGGTTTAGAAAGAAAACGACTTCTGTTTTAACGCCGAATCGGCCACTATCTGATTTTTTTAATGCTCTCCACTTGCTGCTCACGCTAACCTGAAAATGTCGTTAAAGAAAAGAGGATAAAAGGGCGATTTAATTGATATCTAGTACTCTCGTTTAATTTGCTGCTTGATAAGGACCCACTTCAAGTAACCACTGCCTTTCCTTGTTTTTATTGGCCTTAAGGTGGAAACGGTAGGGGCACCTTAAGTGAAGATTTAAAAAGGACGACGGTTTAATATTTATTTAAACATCATCTTTTTTCAAAACAGAATATTCCTTATTGCCATTCCCACTGTTCTTTTTCAATTGAAAGCAATAGCTGCATATATACATATATTCGGATGTTGTGTAATCTAAAGCGAACAAGTTTTCCTTTCGATATATTCCATTGTGCGTTCGGATCCATTTAGGCCACAATCCCTGATCATTCATCCTGTAATAACGTCTATATAAGGGTTGCGGTACGTCCCCAAAGGACGTAATCAGTGACTTTATCAGCGACCCTTATGTTCGCATTTTTTCTTTTTCGAAGAGGGCATTTTCTTCCCTCAATTTCGAATTAATCAACTGACCCGTCAGATTAAAGAAAGCTACGTTTCTATTTATGAACTATTCTCTCCCCAATATTGTAACACGGTCTTCGATACCGTAAGTTTTCTATTTAGGTCACTTACACGATGTTAGCACATTTAAATGTCGCTGATAGTCAGCAAGCCGCTGAGTTACACCGTAGATGACGTCAAGCGCATGCGCAGCACGGGCAGCTAATAGAATCTAGGCACCAGCTACCTCACTTCTTGACGGATTCCTCTCCACTATTTTCATATCTGCTCCTACCTATATAACAATAGTTGTAATGATGGGTAAAGACTGCGTCGTTTTCCTATTATTTTGTAAAATCTCTTTTTAATCTAAATATAGCTTAAAACGCAAAAAAATTGGAGTGAGAAATCAGAAGCAGAGCTCATCGGTCTCTAACTGAGAACGACAATTTAGGCGTCGAATCATTTTTTCGGGGCTTTTACTTAGTTAAGTTCCATATAGTTTTTGTATACGTTTCCATTTTAATTCATAAAATACCATACTAAATAAAATAGAATTTTTCTTCTAAACAATTTATAGTTAATTGTGTCTGTAAAATCGATTTCAAATTCATTGCATTACAAGGCAGAAAAGAAAGAGCCAGTAAGTGGAAATCTAATTTTAGTCATCTATTGAAAACAATTCCTGTTTGTTGTCTGCTAATAACGTCTAGAAGTGGAGTAAGAAGAAGAGGAAGAAGGAGAGTACGGTGTTCATCTCCCAAAGGATGTAATCAGCAATTTTATTAAGGAGCTATCCTTATGCTTGTCCTTCTTCTCTTCCAGGGAAGCCGTTTTCTGTCCGCAATTGCACGTTAATCAACCAGACGGCCACAGACGCGGCTGTATCGTGCTTGGCCGGCTTCGACGGGGGACTCCCCCAGCATTTCCTGCTCGAACTCTACTCCGACAGGAGACTGCCCACCGACGAACCCGTCAGCACGTATATCGCCCATGACGAGCCCTATTTTCTGCTCACGAATCTCGAGCCGAACGTCAATTTCAAAATAAAAATTTATTCGGTTAACATGAAAGGAAGAAGTAGCGCGGTCGTTATCGAAGATGTTACGGTCGGAGAAACGGAAAAGAGGACAGGTACGTAAAATGTAACTTATGGTAAATGCACACACGTATCTATAATAAATGTATACACATATATGTATGTTGTATATTTACGTTGATATGCTATCTTGTCAGGAATTATTATTTGTTGGATTTGCAAAAATATCCCTATTGGGATCCGTCAAATGGAAGGAACCTAAAAACATGGCGCCGATTAGGGAAAATTTATCGTAGTTCCTATAGTGTACCGTGCAATTTCCAAGTTTTTAAATTACGATAAAATGATAAGTATTGACACAATATGTGATTGGGCTGACACAAAGCCTCGGAAAGGAAATTTCGTTGAAGGTGAGCGTGTTTTTAATGCCAATCACATTATAAAATTCGGAAATAACAAATCCGGAAGCTAGCCTTCAAATTCCGTCAAGTTTACTGCCTACTTTTTACAAACTTCGGATTTAAAAAGTGATTCACGTTATATAATTGGTGAGGTGATTCTGGGTGATTTAAGCAATATCATATCAATGACTTGCACGTGCAAAGCCGATTTAAGAGAACGTTGCAAACACATTATTGCAACTTTGTTGTATTGCAGCAGGTAGGTTCTTAACCTCAAAATACTTATATCGTATCATTAGAATTGTGTTAAATCAATTACACAGGAATAAATAATTTCTCACTTTATAATTTTAGTATGATTCTAGTTTTAAATATTAAGGTTATGGCTGATGGTAAATACTTGCTGAAATATAATCATGTGCATTAAAATGACGTGAACAAATTTTTATTCCGGAATTCACTTCTTTGATACCTACTGCTTTCATCCAAGCTTCTATTAGTTTACTTTTTTCTCTAATTTTCCGAATATATTTTTTACATATATAAAACGGTTAGTTTTTATTGGAAAGTAGTTAATGTAGGTGAAGAGTGAAGATCTATGTCTGAAGTGCTATTGCAGCTTTTCACTGAACATATTAACTTTTTATTTGATTTAACTTTAGAAGAAAACTTCGTCGACTCCATCATGAAAAGACTTTTTACTTTTTTAACGTGTTTTATTATTTTAATAAACAATTTAACGATTTATGTATACCATTCCCTCGGATATTTATCCCTCATTTTAGTTACGAGTTTTGCTACCAGGTGGTGTATGCCAATTTGATGGATCCCAATGATGCTGCCTTTTGTTGATTGCGTTCCCAAAGTTCGATTCTTAGTTCACCAGCATTGTATACAATTTCAAAGTATTATCTTCATAACTGCCTAGTTTATGTCGAAAGTTTTTGACATAATTATTCATAACTCTTAATACCCATCGTCCGTGTATATCTTGGGTACCCATTTAGCTTTCGCATTGCATTTTATGGGTAATTATGAATCAGTTTTTAATTAATTCCGCTCATCCGTTAAAGGATTCATGGGTTTTATTAAAAACTGTGAAAAAAGATGTAATTTAAATTTCTTACTTTTTGCCCTTAATTAACGGAACGCCCGCTTATTGATTTCCATTTACAATCCATTAGACTGTATTCGCCAAGAAAATGCGATGGGAAAGTTTCATTAATTACTTAACGGATTTGAAATGTCTTTTTGAGTCTGCCTTAATATTTTAATCAGCCATCTGTAGCGTTTCCTTGAAAATTTACCTTTTAGCAAAATTTTCCTGATCAACTAAAATCGCTATGGGCGTTCCACGGGAATTTTTTCAACTCATCAATATTCAACGTAATCTTTTAAATATCAATTTTAAAGAAATTTTACAATCTTTTAAACAGGAGAACGTTATATTACATATGTGTATCTAAAATATTATACAGAAAACACATATTTGTGGTAATAAAACCGATGCCCATTGGCCCACCTGCAGCTACGCCCCTGTTTTTATGTCACATTGATATGATTTTATTGAGAATGATTCAAACGTAATAATAATATTTAGACCACTTTTGGTATATAATTCTATTAAATATCTCTTTGGTTTAGTTATCTGCCTTATTTATTTATTTTTTTTTTTCGAAATCCACAACATTTGTTAGACAGCACAATATAAACGGTTTCGTTTGAATTTCGGAATCCATTTTTCGACTTAGAAAGAATATATAACAAAAAGAAAAAAATCTGAAACCAGTTTCCTAACCAATCTTGCAATCGTCAGAAACTTTTGCCGCTTCAAACTTCTTAATTCAATCTGACTGTTTTATTATCATTATTATTATTAGTTTTCCATTGCTTGGCCCTTTTATTGACTAAAACGCTCGCCGAAATGTGTAGACACTTTGGCAAAGTATCTCTCAATTTTCCTTACACGGAAAGTTTCTTCCCGACTTATGCCTTAATAATAGTTTTTCGCGCGGCCGAAGTTTACTTAATGTTGGTTACTTCAAATTTTCGGCTTTCAGTGACATAATAGTGTACGAAAGTTTGGACGGAGACGACCTGAAATATCCATTAAGTATTCAAAAACAATTGCATGTCTAAATAGATATTGATGCTAAAACTTCGTAGTTAGTTACTACCGCCACATAGTTTCATGCTAAAATTTTATAATTTCATATCCCTAAAACAGTTATAACTTCAAAATTTACTTGCTAAACTTATCGAACTCTTTGGAGTGCTACTTAACATTAGAAATAACATCTACAAGCTAACAATACGACATACTGTAATTGACTTAATATCGATCTGTATGTATGTTTGTAACAAACGGATTTGAGTTATTTGCCAGTATGAATTTTGACGATGGATTTTCTAAACTGATTGCCACTCGAAATGCCTGGAGGGACTTTCTTGCAGAAGTCAAAACTTTCAACTGTAATGAAGGTCCCATAATTCGACGAAACCGCTCAAAGTTTGAATCTCTGCTGTACACAGCTGCAAGTAACAGTGAGAAATGAAACAAAAAAAATATCTAAAGATTTAGGTTGAAATCGGGACGAATATTCAAAGTAGAAAATTGAAAATATACGAAAACGAGCGGTTAATTTAGAAATTCGAAAAAGGTTTTTAAAGGTGCATGTTTGGAGTGCGGCGTTGTACGGGTGTGAAGCATGGGCAGTGGGCGCGGCGGAAAAAAAAGGTTAGAAGCGTTCGAAATGTGGTGTTATAGGCGGATGATGAGGATAACGTGGGTAGAAAAGGTTAGGAATGAAGAAGTATTAGAAAGAATAGGAAAACAGAGAACTCTATGGATGTCAATAAAAAATAGGCGAGATAGGTTGGTAGGACACCTTCTCAGACATGAAGGTCTAGTCAGAGACATATTATTAGAGACAAAAACAGGAGTTAGGAGGGGTAGAGGTAGACCTAGGTTAGATTACTGTTCGCAAATAGTTAAGGATGCTGTTTGTTCTAGGAGTGGTGGTACGAAACGAAATTACATTACTCCTTATATAATACATAAATAGACATAAGTCCAAAACATTTTTAATTTACATTTTTATTTAAAATTCAATTGATCTCCAGTCACAAAAATAAACGAGAAAGTAAGATATTCTATCAGTAATTTGATAGCGATAAATAGAAGACAAAATTTTAATATTATTTTTGAATTTCATTTTTAGCAGGATGTAGGTGTAATCTATCCTATTTACCTTTAGGAATTTTTCCGGAATAAACGATAACAGCGATCCCAACTTAGAAAAGGAAATACGTTCCAATGTACATTAAATCATTATTAGTTGGTACTTACACATAAAGTACCGGTGGGTTTTCGAACGAAAGATATTTGTCCCGCAAGCATCTCAACAATTTATTACAAGCTCAGCGCTTGCAGGCTTGGCGAAAATTTATGGCGCGGAAATTGGGTATGACTGGTATAAGGAAATTGGAAGTAGTTCACCACAATTTCCTTACATCTCCCACCGATTACATCCCGTGGAAGGTGCACTTTTCGCAGCGCACAACTCCCTCAACCAAACTTTTTCCATTTGCAACACGGACTCTTGCAATTCTCAATTTCTTTTTATTAAAGCATCAGGCTACTCGTATGTCCGTAATAGATTACTATTTGTCTTTCCATCAAAACAAAAATGGAATTTTCATTGATATATCCTACTGGGTACACATTACATCAGTATTCTGCTTGGTACACAAATAAAATTAAACAAAGTAATAATTTAAACACATTCACAATTAAAATTACAATATCCTGTAGTTCTACTGTCCCTGTTTGTTCAAGAATAAGTTTCAACAGGTATTTTTCAGATACAAAGGATAATTCTTGGTATTATCAAACTGAAAAGAATTAATTTCGAACTTTTGATGCAATTTGGTGCGGTTGATGCAGCTAAATTACTATGTGCCTAAAATATATTAATTATTATTCAATTTCTCTGTCAGCATTTGAGGAGTTTCACTCAAATAACGTTTTTGCTTTGAAATTCTCATCTTTCGAAAAGGACAATGCTTGCAAGATACCCATAGGTATATATATTAAAGTTGAATGTTTATGAAACTTACATTAAGTTTTTAAAAGCTGTTTTGCTAGAAGGCTTTTTAGAAATTTTAATAGAACCTCAGAGCAGTTTAGTTTTTTAAATGTGTTCATTATGTTAAGTTATTTAGGAAAGTATTTGAGTTTCAGAACAGACAGTTCACGATCAGCTTATTTAGTACAATACTATTTCATCCAGTTGTTTTTCCATGAAAAAATTTAAAGCTCATTATTTTGTTATTAAATCTTGAACCAATTTTGTCAAAACTAGAACATCCCACAATGGCCTAATAGTCCAAGATATCTCGCCTAGTTCTTATTGATTTCCATGACGCTGTCTTTCCATTACCTTCTCATTTCTGTCTCAATACATTTATGGTATTTTCATCATCTTCCTGTAACATCACAGCTCCAACTTTGTAATCTTAATAATTTTTTGACGTGACAACGTCTTATAATTCGATGAAGCCGGCTGCACGCACGAAAAAACATGACTCATGCGGCGTTACCTCGCTCTGAGGCGTTCCATTTAAGGCTTGAAGTGCAAGCGAGAGCGCGGAACGAGCGACAAAGAGGCACAATCGGCCTCCGCGTTCGGCAGCGTTCGACATCTGTCTCTCTCCTACTTGAGTGAGCGATGCGTCCGCGTGGACAGCTGCTATACAATAATACATTTCCATTTACCTCCTTCTCTATATCCATACAAAATATCTATCAAACAAATAAAATTAAAATTTTCTTTTGAAAAATGAAACCATTCCATCAGTATTTTCTTATGACGTTGTCACGTTCAACTATCGTCAGTAAACCGACTTTACAGACAACCGATTTTTTCGAGTTTTCAAATTAAGTGTAACCATTCGCTAATAGCACAGACGGAATTTCGTTTTGGTAAAAGTGATTTAATCCTAATTTATCTAACATCTAGGTTTCACTAATATTTTTGATTTATTTTTATATTTTCTTTCCATGTTCTTCTGCCAATGCTTCCATTTAGTGTTCCATACATCATTAATCTAAGTTACCTTTAGGGTTCCAGTTAATCAGTATTAAATTTGACTCGAGAGTGTAACTTTCTTATTAAATTATATCCATTAGGAAGGGAGCACTGTTTAACTTGTTAAATATACATACATATATATATGTATACATGGTAACGTTGGTGATGGATGTAATTGTCCACAATTATTCTCCCATTATGTAGTTTCGAAAATGTGTCTGTTTTTGCAGCGTTAGGAGGACAGCTGCCCCTATCCCCTCTCCTGGGAATACTCATCGGGACCGCAATCACCATCGTACTCATCGCCGTGATTGTTACCTTCAGGGCAAGAAGGTATCACACGAAATCCGAGCAGGCCATGTTCGAGCAAAAAGCCGATAGAGTTTCGCAAAACCTCATCCCGCCCTCCAGTAAACCGCTGCTTAGTAGATTATCCTCCAGAGAAACTTCAGATGAAAGGGACCCCGATATCATCCCCGTCAAAAGGGGTAAGTGTTATTATTACAACGTTATCTTCCAGGAGTATCTATCTACCTGCCTTACTTACTTCATTAGTGGCGCTCTTACGTTCGTTTTATATGAATAGACCAGTCAGCCTGTTACGGGAAGAGGATTTCTGCCACAACACCCGGTAAAATGATAGCAATATTATCCCATGTGCTTGAGAAATTCGAGTGGAAAATGTAATTAAAACCAAAATTCTAACGAAATTACACATGCTGTATAAATTACCGTAAAGTAAATCACGCCGTAACATCTAAATTACGGAGTCGTTACAGTTACAGAAAAACTTCAGGTACTGTTCGTTTCAAGAAGTTGGAGATATGCCCCTTCCCTTTATTAGGATGCGCCGTAGCATAATTCCAAATTCAATCATATTTGTCTGCGAAACTCATTTTTCCACCGATCATCGAGCGAGAACTAGACAAAAGTGTACAGTACCATTTGCAAAATTACCTAAAGTGCCTCGTTAAAACTTAAGAATATGCTTTATTTAAAAGCATATTTAGCCAAAAATAATAACAAGTGAATTAACTTAACGCTCTGCACACCTATAAAACTTTTGCTTTGTTTGATATTGTTAATTTATACACATTTTTGTTTTAAGAAATTGCTAAACATTTTCGTCTAGTACTGTACATTTCTAGCCGATCTGCTAAGACCGCCCATTGAGAGCTTTCTGTCTTGTTCACGCCTAGTGTGTATTCTTTCTATCGTCGCGCAGATTTCTTCAAGGTCACAATTCAAACAAATTGAAATGGGCTGTATATCCTTTGTTATTATTGTTGTTTCCGTCGGTGTGCTGCTGCACCACATAAATCAATAATTGATCACACAAAATATAAACCTCGATGGTCCTTTGTATGTCGATGAAAAAGATTCGTACTGTATAAAACGTTTATTAATCCTACATACACACTAATGAACTAAAACTAATATTAATTACTACTTAAAAAGATACTTGTTACTTGTCGGCTAGTCTGAATTGGTCTACTGTTATTATTGATTATCTAACAGTGTTTTTATAGCTTAAAACTAAACACACCTCGACCACTACCCCCAAACTTTCCCCTAACAGTCCGTATGCAGATATGGTATGCATTACCGATAATTTAGGGAAAAAATCATTCAAAAATTAGAAATTCGAGATTAGTTAGGTTTTGCAAATAATATCTATACTAAAAAAAAGTATACGGTTTGAGAGAAAATTTGGAATTTGACCAAAAACTTTGAATAAAATAAGAAATAACGAATAATATGGAAAATTTTTAACTGACTTTTGGCAGTGAATATGCCTTGATTTCAACTTCGAAACAAAAAAATATTTAGTTTCAATCTCTATTAATAATGAGCGTAAAACTTTTTAATATGTTTAAATAATAATTAAAACTTTAAAATTGCATTTATTTCAGACAATTATAAATATTATCATTATATTATCAAGTAAAAACGAGATTTTCAGCTAATTTTTCATTTTTTCCTCGATAACCATTTAGTGAATTTGAATAACCTTACGCTAAAGTGATTCTCCAGAGTTCAAGTTACTTATTATAAAAGTTTGAAATTTCTGGTAGCTTTTTTTCTCTTAATAAAAATAAATTTAATCTGTTCGGTTAACGAATCTCCATAAGATGAAGTGTAAAATTACAATTTTTTAAAATTTCAATAACTTTTTAACGGTTTAGAGAATCGATTTGTAATTTTTACAGGAGTTTTAGAATTGAATGAGGAACGCTCTTCGAAATTTTTATTTGTCTCGTTGCATTTTGACATACCTCCCAAAAATTCTTAAGAATAACTGAAGGATTATAAGAGTTATCCAGGGGCAGATATAGATTGCGATCAAAGCCTAGTAGTAATAAAAACAATTTTAAATTCATAATTGTGAAGAAGAAATTTGGTAGGAAACGTCATATTTTGGAAAAAATACAATAATATAACGAAGCACGTGATAGGTTAAATATTTCTGTTATTTCTGAATAATGCAAAAATTGGGTTTTCAAGTTTGTGTCATAACTTTTTGAAAGGCTACAAGTTATAACTAGCAAAAAACTTCACTCAGGAAAAAATAAATATTAATTTCACGCCTAAACAAGTAAAATTACGGAATCCAAGTTCAGAGCTGTTGTTAAGATATGATGTAGGTAATTATAAAATGGGCGCAAGTACTTTTATTTTTAACTGTATCGCTAATGTAATTTCGTGATTTTGTCGGAGATAATTGTGTCTACTTTTTTTTGATTTTTGTCTTTTTCGAAGCAAAAGAAACGTTAGATCAAACGTATTTATTTATGTACCTAAAAGTTGTGGCGAATCAAAATGAAATTTTAATTAAAAGCAGAGAAATGAAAAATGTCCAAAGCGAAATAAAAATACTCTTAATTACAGTTAACGTGCTGTAAAGAAGATATTAGCCTAAAAGCAATTTTGAATCACTTCAAACGTCCAAGAACTCGCTGTATTTAATAAATTAAATCTTCATTTGGGTGATCAAAGAAAAAAATTCCTTCCCTGTTTTAATTACGCTTTTGAAGAAACCCTTTTGAGATGTAATGTTAGCGTTTCACAATTATAACTAGAGTAATTGGTACATTAGGACCTTTTTAGATTTATGAGATAAAAAAAAGTAGTTTTCTTTCGGCATCCTTCTTTATTGACGAGAAAAAAATTCATGTCATGTTTCACGATAATCTAGACGAAGTTGCTAATTTTCGATATTTAGTGTAAGGGTAAAAAGAAAAAGACAAACTAAATAAACATTTGAAATTCATCTAGCTATAGGAGTAATGGCGGGGATGTGTCGCTGTAGGACGTAGTTTTAAGTTATTGCAAGGAAAAATGGCGTAATGCAATGCAAACTAGAAATAAATGTACGTTCTTCAAAGTTCGTAAGTCTGGCTATAAATATAAGAAGTTCTTAACTCGGTAGCCGTATCCGAACTGACGCGGGCACGTGACCCACGATTGTGCGTTTTATTTTACTTAAAACTTTAATGTTTTCGCTAAGCCGAATGCTCGTCAGGTATACGGAATTTTCGTCATACATGCACAGAGCCGACCGTCACGCCAAGGCACTAAATACTATCCACTAACTAATTAGTAACTGCCGTACCATTGCAATCACGTACGTGTAGGTGTATTTCGCAGTCAGTCCACAGAATGAACCATTTCGAACTATGGCTAGGCATCTTAAGCAGGCCGCACACTGAAGTTGTGCGACATAAACACAACATTTGTATTTGTGGTCAATAGAACTTGAAAGTACAGTACGATCCGCTTATAATGACATCTTATAGAGAGAAAAACTACAAATTGTGTATATTTATTAACAGAAAAAAGAAAAAAAACGATGAATCGTAATATCAATAGATATACATAAGAAGAGTCAGAAAAATGAGCGAAAATATTATTATTAATCATTTGGTTCACTATATATATCACATATGATGACGGAGTCGTTATATCCAAACTTTCTTATAGAGAATTTAATATGAAAACCAAACCTAACACTGCAATTACTTCATTTTAAGCGGTTGGTCAATATAGGCGGAGTCATATTAAACGAATTCCACTATAGTCATGGTGTAGTAGTCGGATAAGGAACATGATTTTTTAATGTGGAATATAATAATATTTTTTTTCCATATTGTTTCTGTCACTTATCTATTGCTGTGCTCGCATATTGCAGGGTTTTGCTCAATTTTTTGAATAAAAGCAATACATATGAAACGCTGTGACATTTATAATAGTGGTTAATATCAAATATTAATTTTCAATTTTTTACCCACTATAAACTACTTCAGGTTAATGAGGTCCCTTTTTCGATTCCCTGCGAGGGTGTGACAACAGCAACAAATTTCTCCTGATTAACTTGAAGTAGTTTATTGAGGGTAAAATATTGAAAATTAATTTTCACATTAATACAATATTCCTGTATGTGTTGTTAATATTACCTATGGCGCAAAAAGAGAACGTTCTACAGGTCTGACGAAGAAAGCTGGCGAGCGGTCGCGCAGGTACTTGCCCATTTATGACCTATTTGGGTAAGTCACTTGGAACCGATACACAAATAAGCTTTCAGTTGGCGTAAATTATAGTATTAATACAAATAGGACAGTAGCGTACTAGAAAATAATGTAAAAACATGACTTATCAAAAAGAAAAAATTAACCTATTGCTTTTGTTATAGTTAGTTTTCACATTCACTCTCATCATGGAAATCTCTATCACTGTCACCAACATCTACAATTAGTTCTTCTGTTTGTCTGTCTATTACTTGCTCACTGATTCCTATTTTTAAATATTTAATCTACGCGCCTGATAGGAATACTGAAGAATGAGGGCTGCAATCTTTATACCTAAAACTGCCTACTTTTGCCACCGCGCATCCACGCCATTTTAGAATTTTCGCCAGCTTCCAGCGTCAGTCCTGTACACAATTGTAAAAGTACGTGGCATGTTAGGAGCTACGTTATAAAAGAGTCACTCAGAGTAAATGAGTTGCGACATGTCGTACCAAAGCAACGTGCAACATCGGTGTGCGGCCTGCTTTATAGAACAGGGTTCTTGACACGGTACACGTTCAGCTGCTTCTATTTTTAGGAGCATTATTTATAAGATGTAATATATATTTAATTAAATAATTATCTAGGCTCACAGCAGTGCTTCAGTCAAGTTCAGAAAAGAGAAAAGAACGATACCAACAGGGTGTTTTAACCCCCACCTCATAACATAAAAGCTGTTGTATCTACACTATCTATGTATTAAATATATGAAATCCTATGACATTGTTAGTTACTTAATAGTGGATTAATATGCAACATTAATTTGAAATCATTTTTTCGATTTTTTTTATTTACCCACTACAAACTGTGACTGCTGTGACAACAGCAACAATTTTTCCCTCATTAATTTGAGGTAGTTTGTAATGGGTAAATAAAAAAATCGAAAAAATGATTTCAAATTAATATTACACACTTGTAATTTCGCATCTTTAATAACGCCCCCCTCAAGCACCTAAATACTAAATTTTACATTTAAATAGGAACTTGATGCTGCTTTTTAATGACCTTTAGAAGTTAAGATAACTTATGTTAGACAGAAGAATTTCGAGATCGCTGCCATCAAGCTTTGAAAGTAATTTCCTAACAGTTAGTTTAACTTGTTGCAGATCCCCCTGACGAATCAAGTTCGGAAACAACTGTGATAGCGCAACATTGGTACTGCACGCTCCCCAGTTCCACTGAAGAACCGCAGGTAAAAATGGTTTATTACCTAATTTTACTAAAAAATAACAACCTTTTAATTTCTCTAAAGCATGCAAATTGATGCTGAATAAGTACACTGCCCAATTCTCCATGATAATCTAAGAAATATTTTTCTTTTCGGTTTTTGGATTTGTTTCATAAAAATGGAACATCAAAAATTAAAAAGAATCAGGACAGATGTAATTAATGATTTAACCGAAAAATTACAATACGGGAAAGTTTAATAAAGTCTGTGATTTCTATTCTGATGACATTTATTAGTCAAATGTTTCACCATTGTAAAAACCTTAATTCTTCGACTATTTTAACATATAACTTCTACTTGCTCTGTTTTAATGATTCTACATATACAATTGAGGAACTAAAAGAAAACTACGACTTAGAATATCATAAATAACACAGTGGTGTACCTTGTCTTCAATATTTATTATTTATTTGCACAAGTAACTTTTTCGAAACTTTGTATTAAGTAATCTAAACTGTATTAATGTTTAATGGGAAAACTTTGGCCAGTAAGGAGAAACATGTCCAAATTATCCTATACAAGTAGTTTATTTTAATTTTAAATGTTTCAAATAATCGATAATACAACAGAATCTTTTGGGGGGTACATGTTTTTAATAACATATTTGAACATAAAATTCTTTTTACCAGAGTTTTCAAAAATTCTGTTAACTTATCTATCTATACTTAATGTTTGTATTATTTACTCTCATAATGAACATACAAGAATCGGCCCACAATTTTGTGCCAGTGTTGACTTTAAAAGTTAGTCTACTATATCTAGTGTCCGACCGAAACTAGTTTTTACGACCGAAACCGAAACCGAATTTCGGCAACGGTCTCAGTTTCGGCCGAAACCGAAACCGAAACTTCCTTATAAGGATCATGTTTTGAGAGAAAAATAAAGAAAACGTTATTATAATCAGTCAGTTTTATTTTTTTATCTTTAAATCACATAGCTCTGCAGTCTTTGACATTTTCACTTATTGATAATCAAATCAAAATCAACATAACAACCCCTCATTTAAGGAAATACTTTAATTGCGCCTTAAAAATACTTAAAATAGGTGAGATGTTTATTTGAGTAAGTATAGTAGACTAGACTCATTTTTCTTTTGAAGATGCGAAATGTCTACTAATCTACTTCGCTTGGATGGAATTTAACGCGCCGAACATGACCGAGCAGAGCGCGAGAACTCCCAAACGCAGTTTCGGTTTCGGTCGTAGTTTCGGCAGGTTTGCCGCCGAAACCGAAACTAAACCGAAACTCGTTTTTTTGCCGAAACTCGACCGAAACCGAACTTTCGGTTGGACACTAACTATATCTTTGAGGTTTGTATATCTGGAAATTGGTCGTAGGTTCAAGTTAGCAGGGTTAAAAATATGTATTAACACTACTCTATTCGACCCATTTTGTTACTCAGAAAATAAGTAATGTCTGGCAGATCTGGGATCTCGGACTATAAAAAAATATCTAAACGATTGCTCCGATTGAAATTGTATAAACAGTCGTGCGAAAAGCGACGAATGTAACTTTCTGCAAATGTAGCAAAACGTATAAAAGATGGTACAAAGTTTAGTAAGTCGGTGAAATGAAATTTGTTCGGTAATGACCCAGAGGAAATTAATTTTCCTTCTTTTTACCGAGTCGATGTTCACAATAATTCACTGAAACTGTTCGTGAATTCAATCCTTATTAATTCTCGAAGCAAGTAGTGGAAGAACAAGAAGACGAAGTGAACTAAGGAGCATCTGCAGCGATAGCTGGGAAGCTGGGAGAGGCGCGGGTACGAGAGTGAGCTCATTTGGCGCAGTTCTTTCAATTTCGTTCCGCCTTTAATAATTCGAGTGGTACAAAAAGAGACCAAATCCTAAGCGCCTTATATTCCTCTTCTTCTTCTTTTTGTTGACAGCACTGCCAGTACAGAAGTTCAATAGTGGGCACCCTTCCAAAGGACGCGAGGCCTAAAGACTTACTTATTAATAACGGCCATTCAACCACGCTGGAGAACGGCATCGACCCGGAGTTTAATGGATTGGCCATTAAAGAGAGACTCATGGACACACGTCTACCAGAAAGCTGTGTTTAAATTGGAACTTTACCTTTGCACATCACCTATCCGTAACTTATTCATCAGCTGTGAGAGTGTGTGAAACGGTGAGAGTTGGGCGGGGAACGGACAAGGACATGTAAGGTTTATTAATGTTTAGCATATTCCCGTGTTAGTGAATTGTTAGCGCTACATGTCTAGTCATTTATCGTTTACGGTTTGGAGGTCTGCATCTCTGGAAGTCGGCCATCCTCACGAAGACTAAAACTGATCCATCATTGGCATTCCTCGAACAGCACAAGTCAGATGTTATTTAGGTATGCGTTTGTTCTATTCTATTATCAACTATTCAATTAATTACATTAACACTAACTGAAATTAATGATTTGTAAAACTCAAAAAAGGTCGACAAATATACTTCGTTTACTTTCTGTAGCGATGTGCCCCTTCTAATGTCTTGGATGCGCGCTGGCAAAATCGTAGGTAGAGAGAAGAAAGCTCATTATACTCTCGACTATTGTTCATTAAACATACTTTTTCATACAGTACCTGCCAAAAGTCTTGTTCAATCATGAATAGTAGTGCGACTCGAAAACAAGCGTTAAAGCCGTTAATATGTCTTAAAATATAAATAAACATCTCGTTCGTATTTTCAGTCATAAATGGTACCAATAACAGCACATTTGAGCAATGCAATTGTAGTGGATAAAATGGTCAATTTTTCCGTGCAGTACTGTACGGATTATACGCTCCTCACCGGTTAAGAGTTTGGCCGAGAGTTGTCTCCTTCCTTTTCTGGCCTAGTGCTGTTCTTTTCTACTTTGCGCCGGTTAAACTGAAGGTTACATCGCTACAGAAAGTAAACGAAGTATACAACGTATGTTTCGCTATATCCGAAGGAGATACATGCACAAAAATTTCATAATACATAACTGGGTTTTTATTTTAACGTTTCCGTCACTGTTTATCCACTGCTAATAAAATTTTGATTAACGTGCATGTTATAAGGTTTAATTTAATGTCTAGAATAAAATGAAGTCTAGCTTTGAAAGTAGTAATAAATCCTTTTGCTTATATTTTTCCACAACGGAAGAAACTAATAAGTTTCGTATTCAAAGGTATATCTTCGCTGGGCATCGTTGACAATATACCTAGGCAAGGTAAAGTCCTACACTGGGAACTGTACGGACTCTTGCAAAACAGTTGAAATGTATTACTTTGAATGCGAAATTTATGTGACCTGCGTTAATGTCTGCAAAATAATGTTACATAAATCAGAAACAGAGTTAAATTCGCAGTTGAGCCAAACTTTGTCAAACTCCGATCTGCGTAAGCCTTACGTTAGTATGAAGCTGTCTCTCATTACTTGATTTATGTTCCAAACTCTGCATAGAACTTCAACATACCTAATTTAAATCAATTGTAATACGCCAAGCCAAGATTTAACAGTATTTATAACGTTTATACCTACCACGAAAGCTATAAATACATATTTCATACATTGTCTGTCTTTTCCCAAACAACTGCGGCAACAGGGTAGGTACTCGGACATTAAAAAGAATATATAAAATGGGTGAATAAAGGTTTGATTATCACTATCCGTCTAGACGACGACATCTGTCAGATGTCCATCAGTTTTATGTTGTATCCACAGGCAAAATTTGGACGGTTAGCAGTTACCTATTGCTCCTTTATCAATTTAATGATTTTGCATAATACCCTTCTGCTGGTTGTATTCTCATTAGCATCAATAATTAGATAGTGTGAATACATAACGCAATACTATATTGACGGACGTCTGACGGACGGCTGCCTGTTGTCGTCTCGATGACAGTGAGAATCAAGCTTTACGTTTAAAAATATAAAATGGAGACTGTGGTAAAGGAATAAATAAATAAACTAACAAGAGAGTTACTCTAATTACTACAAAACTACAGTAAACATGTTTTGTGAAAATTAGGGCGTCTCCTAATGCTTTATTTGTTTTATACTTACTTTAATTCTTTTTAATTTATTCAATTTATTTTTAACTACGATGTAGCAAAACCTATACAATAATTTTAGGAACTGTTTTATAAATGTGTTTATTGAATAACATCATAATCACAAGCGTTTATCATTAATTTAACCAAAACGAACTTGAATACATTTTTATTTAGTTTTACATTTAAGCATTATCTATTTTTTAATAATATTAAGTCAAGGTCGTTTATATTTTACCATTCCCGTCAATATTTTTAAATATTTTTTTTTCGGAGCAAGTAAGGATTAAATAGATATGCTTTAAAATAATTGTTTAAATTTTTGAAATCTTACTTACAAATTTATTAATTGAGAGGGACAAAATGGCCGGTTATAAAAAGATGTTCTCACTTGTGCTGTTCATCGAAAATAGAACGAGAATTTATGTAAAAAAAATATTGTAATTTATTAAAGCTCGTCAACGATAGAAGTATCGGTTGTGATGTTATAAATGTAAATTTTATATTGTCTTATTAAAATAGAATTTGATGTATGGAAAGGCTGATAATTCGCAGAAGGCTGTTATACTTTTTTTGTTATTCTATTTATAGGCAAGGAAATTTGTTATAATGTTTATAACAACATCACGCACTAAACGTTAATATTTTCTCCATATTTCAGATAACAACCCAGATTTTTCATCCCTTAACGTAATTCTCATGTCTACTTTAACTTTTAAATACTTTTATACTTCATTTGGACTACATAAACTTGTTGCAAAATGATAAATATTTAATAGAAATTTACATAGCTTCCAAAACAATTGTATTTTAATTGTCTTCAGGTAGGTAATTGTCCCTA